AGCCTGGCAGACAATAGCGGACCGGCTTAATGCTTAAGTAGTCCAAAACTGTACAATGAATAAACAGTGCTCCACTGGAACTGTCATCATTAGGCTCCAATTAAAGGACTAAAGGAGTTACTTTAAGTCCACTAATCAACTGTTGTACACTTTGCTTTAAATGTGGCAAGTAGAGGTGCATGTTACTCAGAAAATGTAAAGTATGATTAAGTGCAAACAATTATCCACAATGTGTGTCATTTAATCTATTTGTATCTATTTTATCTTTCTATCCTTCATAAAGAACAAACTTGTCTGGCCATAAAAGGACCTGGCAGCAAGTTAAAGTTAAATACAAGAACATTTTGCAGGCTGGAGAGTGACTTTAAAGTAGATAACAGTGAACAAATGAGGTGAATAGATTAGGTGTCTGCTCACATGTTGAATGTCTGTATGATTGTAGCAGTTAAAAAAAGCCCATAGAACTGGCACAGGGGGCGGCCCACCAAGCCAGGATATGTACGGAAAATGGTTCCTTTATTGAGGTTCTCTACATCCCCAACAGAATAAAGGAAGCTCCCACTTGCAAAACATCTCAATGTAACACAGACCATCTGTGGTACATTGAGAGCATGGCTTCCTGCCGTCTGGTGCTGTGTTTTTGGACCCAGCAGCCTACATAAATATCTTAGTCCATCACCTGAGAATCTGTATCTCTCAATGAGATAGTCATCTCCAACGGCCAATGGGTCTGACCTGTCCCAGAAGACTCTTTCATGACTAAATGCTCGTCTGAGGATTAGGGCTTCCTCATCCAGTACATCCTCCAAGAAAGGGCAAGCCATTATGAAGAGGGAACAGGTGTGAATAATGTATATATATATATATATATATTATGGCATGCCGTTTAGGAAATGAAGCTTTGAATATATGGAATGAATTTTGAATATATGGAATGAATTTTGAATATATGGAATGAATCTTGGATAAACTGATAAAAATGAATGAACTGAATGAAATTGAAAACCTAGTTGTATCCTTTTCATCAAAGTGATAGCCTTCTGAATTAGCTGGTTTTACAAAATGGCATCAGTTGAAATATTACAATACTTTCTTAAACTGGACAACTTTTTTGCTTTTTCTGTCAGGATTTAGCCTGAGGCCTGCCACCATTAAAAAGGGAGGGAACTTCTTCGTCAGGAGAACGGTATTGGGCACGGGTACTATGGGAAGGATTGTGGCCCCTACAAGCACTTGCCAATGAGTTAATAATGTCCTCATTGCTCAGTATTGCTGCCACAAGGTTCCTGACTGACTCATTCTCACTTCTACAAGATGACAGCAGTGCCTTGATTGACCAGTCAAGTTTCATTGAATATATTAAAAGATTCATTCAATATATTAAAAGTTTCATTCCATATATTCAAAGATTCATTTTATATATTCAAAGATTAATCTCTTAAACGGTATGCCATAATATATATACTATATTGCCCTTGTCACAGATTTCATTGAAAACACCTTTGCAACTTCATCAGCTGTGTTTTGTAATCTCAATTACTGCAATAAACACATATTTATGCAATTTGGCAAGCAGTCTTCATTAGCATAGCAATATAACACTTGTCCTGAGTAATAATACTACCACTTGAATCAATATAAAAAGACTGTTGCAATTACAAACAGCCAACAGATTTAAATGAAATGAGAAATGACAATATATATGTAATATTTTAATGCAGAATAATTAAAATGATGCAACATACTTAGAAAGACCATGGACATGCTGTAAAACACATTAATTCCTCACAGGACTGACGGTGGAAATACAGGTGAATCACTAGGATTAATCTTAGCCTGGCTGTTAGCCTGGTCTGGAGCAGGCTAACTGCAGAGAATAAATCACCATAGTAACCTGGCCGGGATAAGTTTAACCTGCTTTCATGCAACCGAAATTGAGGCTAAATTAAGCCAGGATAACCAACATATCCCGGCTTAATCCCTTATCCTGGTTTTGTGCAATACCCCTCTGATCTGAGGAAAGTTTGTGTTCGTGCATCTTTCATTAAAATGCTCCATTTTTCAGGGCTTTTACAGAAGCAGCACCAAACATTTGCTGAGACTGGTTCTGGGAAACTTTGACACTTTGATTATAACAACTTGTTTATGATTACAAAGTGAAAGTAAGCTGTTCTCTGATTCCGAAATGTTCTATCCTTTTTTACTGTTTACTTTTTTGTTGTTGTTGTTGTTGCTATAAATTAGCGGACCAGATTTGACCTTATGGCAGCCCAACTTCGGCCCACAGGCCTCCCTTTGGGCAGCCCTGGTTTAAGGCCCTTTACTGGCTCCTATATGGGAATAAAGTTACACTGTGTTGTCCTACAAAATGTCCTGGTTTGTTTACAACTCTGTGGATGTCATCGCTGCTCTGTTGACGTTTGTTTTGCTTATTACTTTTACATTTTTGTTGGGAAAAAAGTTAAACATGAATGATGTGAAAAAAAATTATTTGGGGTTTGGCAGTAATTTCAAATACATTTGAAGTTCAGCATTTTTTCTACATTTTCATATTTTTAGAGACTTACTAAAAGGGATCACTCATTCAGTAAGTTTTTTTTATCATATTACAAATGGAAAAAAGAAAATTATTTTCTAAACACATCATAAATCAGGAATATATGTGTTGGCTAATATATATTACTGGAAACATGATCTGACTATCTTAATATGATGGTTAAAATCTCTTTTGAAAAGTCTATTGTCTGGTTTATTGTTAAAGACCTGAATCTGGATTCTTAGTAAAAACTTAAAGACTAAAAATGTATTCATTAGAAATATTTACTGTAATTATTCAATAGAAAAAGCTAAATACTTGTCATTTAACATGTTAAATTTAATTACAACACATTAAATGCATACATAAAAAGGAAATACATATTTTATTAGACATTTCAAATCTTCCATACAAAAAGATCAAAGTATCCCATAAATGGTAAATGCACCACAAAACTTAAATAAAAAATGTGCTGTATTATACAAAGGTACAGTAATGAATTAGTGGGTATTAGACATGCTAAGGGAGCAGATCCCAGACACATTTCCTTTGGTGAAGATCAAACTATATTTCATTTGACCAAAAAACTTTGTTGATTGCTAGTCTTGCTCTTATCAATACGACCATGGGATAATGCCAATTAAAGTTTTTTTTCTAATCTGCTGATTGATTAATCATAATGCATTAGTAGATCCACGCTTAGGGGTTTTTGTAACATATTTTAAATGCTGTCAAGTGTAACTACAAAATGCACCATTTCTTGCATAATAACTTTCCCAATACATGGTATATATATACAAATATCATATTCTGTTAAAAAGTGAATAAAGAAGCTAACATACTATATAATTAAACATACACAACAACATTTTGAAATGTTTTTAAAAACACATGTTCCTAATCATCCTTAAACATCCTGGCAAAATATATAAAAAACACTGAACACCATTTTGTTGAACAATATGTACAGTACACCATGTCTGACATTTTTTAATTCAAATCCTGTCCTAAATGTATTTCTTTGTGTTCTTTGACAGAGTAGGTGGAGTAAAAACCTGAATATCTTCCTCTTTAAGTTGCACATTCTTTAGGCATCTAATGATTGTTTGGCCACTAGAGGGCAGAAGAACTCCAAAAAACTAAAACAAAAAAATAGGCCAACTGTCATAACCCGGCTCCTAGGCTATGACAAATAAAGCATAGGACACAATAGATGGCAAGAAATGAGTGAATTTATTATATCAACTTATACAACTGAGGTTATAAGTACAACTGTGTGTCAGTCAGTAACATCAGTAATGTAAATGTGGATGTGTGAGCAGTAGGTGTAAATGTTGAAAAGCGGAACCAAATCAGAAATCAAACAAAGACAATGTGCTCCTGCTGCTGGCAGGGATGCAGCTGAATGAGAGAGCCAGACCAGAGCAAAGTTGAGACAGGGTTTTTATGTTTTTATTTGAGTGGAAATTGAAAGGTTATTTGACACTAAATGCATGCTTATAAATAAAATGGGTAAATGGGTGACAAATGTTATCAGTCATGACATTAAGGAGCTGAAACATATAAAAGTAGGTACATAAGTGAGTACAGTAACAGCTGGTGAAAATAAGTGGACGTTACTGAAAAACAAAAAATCCTGAGTAAAACCAATGAAACAAGAAGACATAATTCACATAGAGAAAATCCAAGTGAGACAAACTCCATGCCATAAAAGTTAAATGCTGACAATCGCACCTGAATCTTCATCAGGTCACAACATTTTATTCCACACAATAAATGGCATTAGTAACAGTGACAGTAATTAGTTGATTGACATAGGAAGTTGAATTATGTCCTAAGTGACTGTTAAAGTGGAGGATTTTATTGTTTCAGTAATGTGATCACATCTACGAGCTCTGCTGAAAACTCTATACGAAGACAGACAAGCTTCTGAAAAGCTGAACTGAGAACTTTGCTGTGTATTATTGCTTTTCACATTCTCATAAAATACGTGTATTTTAATGTGCTGAAGAAATCAGTCTTGAACATTAAATAAAAGAATCAGGACATACAGTAGCATACTTTTTTCCCACAAAATTAAAAGTTGTTTACAAATAAAAAAAATATCATAAATATATATAAATATCACAGACAGACAAGTGGATTGTAAGGATTTAGCTTTATTCCAATTTTTTGGAGGAAGTATTATCTTCACAATTTTAAATTTACAGGGATTTTTACCTATTACGTTGTATAAATAAGCTAACATACTATATAATAAAACATACACAACTAGAAAATATTGAAATGTTTCTAAAAACCCATGTTCCTATTCATCCTTAAACATCCTGGCAAAATATATTAAAACACTGAACACTATTTTGTTGAACAATATGTACAGTACACCATGTCTGACATATTCCTTTTTCTTCTTTGACAGAGTAGGTGGAGTAAAAACCTGAATATCTTCCTCTTTAAGTTGCACATTCTTTAGGCATCTAATGATTGTTTGGCCACTAGAGGGCAGAAGAACTAAAATAAAAAAATAGGCCAACAAACACAGGCCTGACTTATTAACACTTGTGCACCTTCTTATACATCCAGCAGGCACAGAGCAACATGTAGTATCATCGTATTGTAGTTTATTTCGTATTTCAGGCCACCTGATTCATGAGTCTTATATTTACTCTCTTTCTATGTCTGTTTTGAGCCACTAAGTTTGTCTGCCTGCTACGTAATGCTGAAACTGTAGCATATAACTGCTGGTAATACTAAATTAGAGAGGGAGAATGTTTATAGAGAATATGTTTTTCTGATCATGTGTTTCTGAAGATGCTCTCTGTATGCATATCAAGGGATATCTAATGATCCATTGAGTTCTTCTTCTTCTTCTTCTTCTTCTTCTGTTTTTTCTGTTTTTTTTGTCCTTTTTATTTGTTAGCACAGCAGCACTTGTAAATGGCATATGAGAGAAGAGATATGACAACAGCCATGAGCAGACACAATCCGGTCCCCTAAAGAGTGGACAGTTGACAGAGAATTTAGTGAGACACTGAACCAAGATGTAGATCAACACAATGGGTTACATAACAGTGAAGCTGATGCTCCTACCTTTAAAATCAATTTCTGACATTGTGCCAAAACAAACTCACCTGAGGCAAAACAAACATGCTGTGTGAATAAGCCATGAGTTCTTCTGATGGGTATCTTGTTGTGTTGGTTGGTGTACGCCACTTCAGGAAAGTTTTTTCTACAGAGACAATGGGCCTGACCAGTTTGTGACTGCACAGACAAAGTATTGGCCATCAAGGAAAATGAGAACCATCCAAATGAAGGGAGGGAGAAAGCTCTACACCCATTTTGGAGGACAATATTGATACTTAAAATCATGGATCATAATCATCAGCAGAAAAGCTATTAAGGCAGGAATGACAAAAATTGCAGCTGAAAACATACCGTTCCACTGAGGATTGCAAGGGCAAGCAAATTCCACCTCCACTATCTTCTCCACGCCAGCCAGGACGAAGCTAAAAACCCCATTTAACACAATAGGGCTGTGTCCAAGTTCTTCCCTGAGTCTTGCAATCAGCCTTTGTTCTGGCATAATTTATTCTACACACAAAGAGAAAAGCACAGATGTAAAGTGAGAGATCTGTGAGGAAAATATACAGATTTGGATGCCTAAATGTGTTTTTGAGGAGGGTTTCTAATGGTTATTTCTTTGTTCACAGGGTTCTCCTATTTAATAACACTAAAGATATTTTTTTTCTGTATAACACAATTGTATGATTTGTCTTCTCCATTTTGGAATATTTTAATCCATTAGTTTGACAGCCCAATGACACCTTCAGTGTTTCATATAAAGTGGAGCATCTTTAATTTATTCAAAATGTAAATGTCAATGTGATGTGATTATTAAAATAGATTGGACCAATTCAATTAGTTTTTATATTTAAATATACAAATGTTTTCATTGTTAGTTACTGTTACAGAATATACATGTAAAATATGTATTTTCACATAATGAAATAATAAAAGAAAATTATCCAATCCACAGTATGTATTTATTTGTACAGTAAGAATAAAGTTCTACCAACCTTAAGATTGACCGTGAGAATGAGAAATGTACTCTTCTTAAAGGCTGCTCTGAGGAAGTGAAACTCTTCAGCTCTTCTCTCTCTCTCTTTAATGTTTGCCCGCAAGTTTCAACCATGGGCAATTTCCTTTCGTGAGCTTTTGTTAACCTCTAATACTTTTGCTGCCCTGATCAAGTCATTATATGTTTCTGTTTATTATCGCAATCAAATGTATCAAGGTCAAACAAAACATTAGTTCCAGAGTGGAAATTGAAAGGTAATTTGAAACTGAATGCATGCTTATAAATAAAATGACATGACATTAAGGAGCTGAAACATATAAAAGAAGGTACACAAGCGAGTACAGTAACAGCAGTTGGACGTTACTTGATAAAAAACAAATAATCCAGAGGAAAACCAATGAAACAAGAAGACATAATTCTCACAGAGAAGATCCAAGTGAGACAATTGAATTAAGAGTTAAGTTATGTGAGTTTGGAGTCTTTCTTTTGACAGTTTTCAAGCGTTGGAATAATTAAGTAGACATATATCTGACATGAATATTGAAATCACCAAGGATCTGATAAGTATGAGTACTGAGGTCAAACATATAATTATTCAGCTTCAAATGAATTCACGTAGATATCCAGTCTGGAGGTTAAGTTGAAAACAGACTTATAGATTTGATCAATACTCCCACTCTGTTTAGAGTTTCTGAACAACATGGGAATTAGTATAGTCAGATGAGGAGGCTTCATGCGGACAAGATAATCAAACTCCCAGCAGCCAATCTCACAGAACTAAACAACAGGGTCATCTCACGCACTGCAGCCACAATAGAACTGGACTTTACACACCCACTCAACCAATATCTCACCCCACTGCCTTCTGGGCGGAGGTACAGAACACTGAGGTGCAAAAGAGTTTGCTTTGGAAAAAAGCCTGATCCCTGCAGCTATTGCTCCTCTAAACAAAAGGGCACGCTGAGTGTAAGGTCCACCTATCATGTACTATTTATTTGATTGTTTTTTGTGGATTTGTTGATTGTGGATGGCGTGTTTCTTTGTTGACTGTATGGTATTGTCTACAGGTGCAGTGATGTGGAGATGAATTTCCCTCTTGGAGGACAATAAATTGAATCTTTATGTAATGGTAAGAACACATTTGGTTACAAACCATGTACCACATAAACAATATTATGCTCAAGATTAAGAGCCTTTATCAGTAAGGATTTTGTAGATCTGACATTTCTTTGTGATCAAATTTTGAGTTTTCAATACTGGAGGTTAGATTGACAGCGACAATGATCTGATATTAATAAAACCAAATTTGTGTGGGCTGCCAATAGAAGGCCCATCAGTAGGGCTAATAATAGATGATGTAACATGGAACAAGATACCTTTTATTATAACATTTTGGTTACAAAACACTAAAGAACAAAGAATGACTGTGACAGATACTTACTGACAGATCCTCTATGTAAGTGAAAAGAAAGAAGATGGTGTAGACTGTTATAAGACAATCACATATGTATGTATCTGCAAATCACAAGGCCATCAGAAAACAGCACTTACTCTGTGCCATAAAAGCAAAATAATGAGAATCCCACCTGAATCTTCATAACAACATTTTATTCCATACAATAAACGGCATTAGTAACAGTGTCATTAATTAATTGATTGACATAAGAAGTTGAATTAGATATAATATATTATACAAGCTCTGCTGAAAACTCTACATGAAGACAGACAAGCTTTTAAAATGCTAAACTGAGAACTTTGCTGTGTATTATCTGTCACTTTCTCATAAAATATGAAATCCTGGCATTTTAATGCACCCTAGATATTTTATGAGAATAAATGTTCTGACATAACCACCAACTACAACAAGATGTCTGCGTCTTACAGCGTGTGGTGAGACGTTTCCTGTGACCTGTCTCTATACCAGCCATCAGAAAAACTGAGCAACATGTGCAACTGCCAGCACCAAACATTTACTGAGACTGATTCTAGGAAGCTTTGACTCTTTGATTATAACAGGTTGTTTATCATTACAACAAAAGTGAAAGTAGGCTGTTGGCTTATCATTACAGGTGTATAATGTTCTCTGACTTGTTTTTTTTTTTACCTCCCAATAAAACAGAAATGATATATCTTTTTTTTACTGTTGTTTTTTGTTGTTGCTATAAATTAAATCAGACCTTATGGCAAATTTGGCCCATGGGGCCCCTCTTTGGGCAGCCCTGGTTTAAGGCCCTTTACTGGCTCCTATAGGGAATAAGGTTACACTGTGTTGTAGGTGTGAGGCTGCCAATACTCTATATTAGTTCAAAGAGAAATAGGATTAAAAGTCTACTTAAGCCCCATGTCCCGTTGAGGTCAGGGCTTAGTCGGCCTGAGAAACTGCTTGACCCTCGGCACAATTTAAAGCCTAGTAGAGGTTTGTTAAGTAGGTTACTGGACACCATTTACAGTTGGATAGTCTGCTACAGTACCTGAGAAATACTTGTTCCTGATTGGTTGGCACTGGCAAGAATTGAACTAAATCTGAATCATTGCACTATTAAATTAAACAGTCGGCCAACATAGTGGGAATTAAAGGTGATTTGGACAGTTTTTGAATTTCCGCCTTGTGTAAACTTAAAATAAGAAATTGAAAGAAATGAGCCCAACACATGACACATTTCTATAATACTGAAACTATCCATTTGAGGAGAAAACAAAGTTACATTATATTCCAAGAAGCCTATATGTAGGTGATTGGTAAGCCACATCTTCTCATTGATTTAGGCTCGTGTAAACATATTTATGTGTCCATCCTTATCAATTCAGCCTCCATTCTCCTAATCTACACGGACGTTGGAGAAACTATCTTAAACATGACAACACAAGCGTCAAACCCGGCTAAGAAAACAACAGCGTCCATCTTGTTCACTGTTTTCATAACATTTCTTGCTACACTTTATGACGGGACGTTGCGCGACGTGCGCGCTGCGCTCTGCGCTCCTCCAAGATCTCGCGGGATTTAAGATTAAACGGGTGGTTTTGAAAAAAGGTGGTTCCCTTGCTGCACCGGGCTGACAGCAGAGAGCCGCACAGGTAGCCGGCAGTAGCGCTGAAGGACCCTGCTAGTCTACCTAGCGACGCTTCCCTCTCTTGCGTGACGGGATTGGAGAGTGCGGTCTGGAGGTGCGAGCCTCGGCGAATCCACCCCGCACCATCATCATACTCCTCTCAGGTCACCCCGGCGCTCGCCTGTCGGCATTTTCCATCTCCAGTCTCCGAAGATGATACCTGGCAAACGAAGGGCTGCAGTCATGTCCTTCTCAGTGGCGATATTTGGAGCCCTGATGCTGCAGTCCGTCTCTTCCCAGAACGGTAGGACATGCGCTCTCCTTATGGAAAACAAGTGCCGGTGGTCTCACATCATGTGGGGAAAATGCGGGTTTTTAAGGAGGGATGTCGCTTGCATTTCTGCATTGGGGCTTTTTTAAAAATTTAATGAATCATTACAAGACGTCTCTGTTATTAAAAAGATCGTTGACCATCGGGAATATCTCTCCAGCAGCCAAGTCTCATTAGATAATCCTTGAACGCAACACTGAAAGAAACCCATATTAAATGAATGAAGCGATGTCTTTGCCCCGTTTGAGCGTTTGAACATTCAGGGTCAATAAATCATTAATAGGCTCCAATCTGTATTCGTTGGGCTGAAGTGGGCCAATCTCAGGCCTGTGCGATGTCCCTAAAATGTCCTTTGAAGTGTGGAGCTGAATACATGAGCCGCTCAACCAGCAAGGACAAGTACTGCCCATCTGCTTGTTGGGAGATCGGAAAAAGGTGGATAGGGAAATGGTCTCCCACTGAAGTTCAAAATCTGTTGTGCTTTCCTTTAAAAGATGAGCACAAACACACACAATCAACATGCTGTCAGGCTTAGGTCTGCTCAGGTATGTTAGGATACAGCTCAGGAATTCAGCATGTAGGATCCAGCATCCCTTACTCCTCTCCCGCTGGGTGAGATATTTCTCTGCATCAGTCCCGGGGGCCGTTGTAATAAAGCATATAGCACGCATGTAATTAGAGATAGGACCTTTAAGAAGTGCGGCTCTGTAAATAGCATCAGTCCATTTTGCTGCATGCTTCTATTTTTAGAGCAGAGAGATGCTGCACTGGGAACCATGGCTTTAATGTCCTCTTGCAACAGTGATTCTGTTAACTCTTTGCTGAGATGTGCTGCACTGCAGAATGGCATTGATTTCTCTGCACGGTCCTACTTGTCCAAATGACCCTCTGCTCATAAATCTCATCCCCACCGTGCAGTTTCGAGCAGCGTAAAACCCCCCTCTGTCTCAGCTGAGTATTTCTAGTTGTGTATTGTAAGTGTAGCTTATGTGGCTTTGCAAGCGTTGTATGAGAATGAGAGTGAGAATTTATTCAGCCCTGGCCTTCCCTAGAGTTGACCATGTGTAGGAATGCATTACACATCTCCTTCTATACTGCACACCCACTCGTAACATCTCTTCTTCAATCAGCCCTCCAGTAGATAAATCTCACATTTCTGTTATTGCAAGTGTAATGGCTTTTTATCTGACAGATGGCTGGAAAGTGGGCTATTTTCTCATCTCCTTCGCTTGCTTTCAAGAGTCCAGAGAGGCAGGTTCATACCGTACATACAAAATCTGATTACTGTATATTATTCCATAAGCGTATTGTTTTTCTCAATTCTGTGTACAGCCACATTACAGGAGCTATTTGTATCAGCTAATGACATTACCCACAGGTTCCCTTAGGATGTGTGTTTCATTGAAAAGTAGAGTGGCTTTTACCAAGAAAGCTGTTTTAATAGTATCATTCATACCATTTTTTGGAGGTAATTTCTCATACAGAAGGCACAGAAGGTCTGAATTAGTGAACTGGTTGGTGCAGATTTGTTGGATTTTGTTAAATGCAACCAATAAATATTTGATCTGTCTTGGGTTAACTGCAAATATAGAAATAGTGAAGGATTTACTAGAGCGTATTGCAAGTTTGAAATCAACTGATTAACATAAAGCTCATCATAACAC